ATGGTCAGGTGCTTTGGGCCACCTTTGTACCATTAGACGGATTCCACTTCATATACGATTTTAAGAGCGCACATTTATAAAATTTTAATACATTTAAAAAAATTAATTTTTTAAATATTATTTTTAAAATTTAAATTTGATTTATAAAATAATACTTATTTATTAGTATATTTAATTTTTAAGCTTATTTTCTTCTTTATTTATAATTAAAAAATAATTAATAAAATCTTTTATTTAATATATTTTACAATATTCATTCAGTTTAACTATCAAAATATAATATAAATATAAATAATTTAATCAATTTTTATATCTTGTATATATAATTACATTTTTAAATTTATTTATTTTTAATTTTAAATTAAAAAATAACAAAATTTTCATTAATATATTATATAATATATATTAAACAAATGATATACAAATCATCTTCTTTATAAAGATTTCCTCTTGCCTACTGTACTTGATTTGTGTAGGGCAGTAACACTTTTGATATCCTTACACTTTGCCAAAAATTTCACGTGAGCCCCTTAATTATAATTTTGTCATTATCATCTTTAAACTTTTAGATGTAGTTTGATTAATATGCTCTGGTCAATTGGATTATGTTTCTAAGCCTGACCTGAGCCATATAGCAGTTGGCCATTCACCCAGTGATTCAGCAGCTAGGTCATGAGCTCTAGTCCGCTTGGCTACATTCCCCAACCCCCCTTCCAAACCATGTAATATACCATTGCAGTTGTTCAAAATAATAATAATAATAATAGATTATAACATAAATTATTAGATGGTAGACAAAATTTTAAGAGATGTTTCCTCCTTTAATTAATGATTCGTGTTTTTGTAATTTATTAAAAAATAAGTGTTCATTCATTTTATCTTTAAAAAATAAAAAAAATTATTTTAATAAATTTTTAGTAAAAAAATTAAAATATCATATTTATAAAATATAAATTATATTGTTTTTTTTTATTTTTTTCATAATATTTTATTAAAATAATATATTTTTAAGAGATAAAGTAAATAAAAACAGATATTTTTATTATATGTCATCTAAAAAAATAAAACCAGGAGTTTCCCAAATTATCCTCAAATAAAAAACAAAGGATACAGAATGCGGGATCCAAAAACGCAACACTGTTGGCGGACGCAGCGCGGACCCATCTGTCTGCCACATCTGGCATGATGACAGAGACTTCATAGTTCCCCACATCCCAGGGCACTATGGTCCAATCAAAATATCTTTATCATCTCTTTTTTTTTTTTCTTTTTTTAATATACTTATCTTTTTCCTAATATAAGCACATTTAGACAGAATAGATTACGCACGGCATGACGTTGCTTCACGAACTAACCTACACGGGTTTGTTCACTTTCATTCTGCCTTTGCTGGAGGGGATTACATAGGGCGTGTTTGGTAGAATATATATATATAGAAGAAACATGTTTAAAAGTTCTGCCAAAAATGAACATACTCCATCAAGTTAGAAACATCTTCAATTGATAGCAATTTCAGAAAAAAAAGTTCTTTTTTTAAAAATTAAGGCTAGAGTTGCAGAAAAAAAAGGAGACTTCCATGAATCTCTTTGCACAAAGATAAATGTCAAAATAATAATAATAATAAGTACCAAAAAAATAATAATAACCTTGCTAAAAATCTCTTTTTAATTCTGTCTTTGGTTAAGTTTATTATGTTAAAACCAATTCAAACCTTAAACAACTTAAATGCAGTATGCTCAAAAATAGTTTCCCTACCACAAAGCTATTTTACTAGTCAAGCTAAAACTCATTAATCCTCATATTTTGCTTATCTTGTCCTAAAATAATATATTTTTTTCGTTTTGTATTTAAATTAAACATTTAAGAACAATTTTTTATTACTTATTTGACTTTTAAAAAAATAAAAATAAATAAACTTTTTCATAATAAGATAAATAGTTAGGAGATAATTATAAGATTAAAGAAACAAAATATTTGTTGTTTCCTCTAAAATATGAAAAAATGACTATTATTTAGGATAAATTCTAAATAAAAAATCTTTTATTTTAAAATAAAAGGAATATGAGGGAATATGTTAGAAGGAATTTTTGAATTTTAGGAAAGTAAAATAAGGATGGGGAAAATAAAAAGGAAATAAAATAAAGATTTCACATATGATTAAGGAATAAAAAAAAAAAAAAAAACTAAAAGGACCATCATCTAGTGCTCGGGAGAGCACCTTCTATCAAGAGATGTACTCTAACAATGAATTTTATTTATATTAATATGAATTCTAATTGAGTATTAAGTAATTATTATATTTACAATAAATTAGCTCAAAATTTTTGGGACTACAAGGCTAAAATGGGTTTGAGAAAAGGTTTTTCATCTCATCTTTTTTAATGTAGATTACATATATATGTGATTGGGATAGCTGTTATTGCAATTTATCTTACATATATAGATTACATATTTTATAATTATTGATAAGAAAAAAATCTTGACTCTAATTAGTATGAAAGCAGACTTATTGAGTTTGTACAATCCAAAACTTTCTGTTAGATCAAGGGAAAATCTAAATTTACAGCTTTCCGTTGTGACGATTGGTGCCTATTTCTTCAATTATGTGCATTAGATGCTTAATATTCCCCTGTAGGTCATTTCAATTTTGGGGCAGCTCATTCATTTGAAGAGTTTTGGGTCCATATATTGCCTTTAATTTTCCTGTAAATTCTAAGTTTTAAGATAATAATACTCATTATACTTTATTCTTAGTAAATTTTGATTCATAGAAAAAAAAGAAAAAAAGAAAGAAAGAAAGAAAAAGGGGATCCATTTATCTTCAATCAATGGTTATAATTTATAAACCTTACTTTTCTACTGTCATTAGTCATTACAAATATTATAACTTACACAATATAAATTACAAATAAAAAATAAATGAGTCTTTTTGTTGTTAAGGAAAGAGAGTAATAATATCACTACTATAATAAATAAATGATTCGTTGCTCTAATAGAAAAACACTTCTCACATTTTTTTTATGGGTGGTGTTATATCATTTTTATCCCACTTTTTTTATATAACTCTTATATGTCATTAAATAAGTGAATGCATTCAATATCACTGATTCTATATAAATTAAAAGAATTAATTATTTTAATGACACGTCAAATTATACAAAAAAAATGAGATAAAAAAATTATACAAAAAACATTTTCTTTTTTTATCGTAAAACTTTTATCCCATTAGAATTTACCTAAAACAAAATTTCTCCAAACTAAGAAATGAATTATAACTTCATACATTTTATTTAAATTACCTTATAGGCAAATATTTTCCCAAACCAAACAAGGCCTAAGAGTCAGACCCGTCGCCTCTTCTCAGTTCACAGGGATCTGCCCTCGCATGGGGACTCTGATCAACCCTGCCGTATCGCCTCCTTTATCCATCGCATGGGTCCAAGGTCGGCACAGACACAATGCTATTGACAGCTACTACTCCCCAAACATTATTTTATTTTAATAAAATGAATCAGAATACGTTTTCTTTTATAATTTTTTTTATTTACTATTAGGTCTATTCGAACTTATTTTTACCAACATCGGTATTAAATTTTTTTTTTTACAATTTTAAAGGTGTATTCTTCTAATTCATTTTAGTATATTTAAAATTTTTTTAAATGTTGACTTAAAATTTAAATTATATATCTAATATATAAAATTATATTTATTTATAAATAAATTTAATTTTAAAATTATAATTTTTCAATATAATTTTATATATTATTTAATATTTAACTTTTTTACTTTATTAAAAAAGAAAAAGTGCCTGTTAACCTTACCTCTTAAAGATTATGAGGAAAATCATCATAAAATTACGTCGTTTCAATAAACTTTTATTGAAAAAGATTAAATTACTCTATTTTTAAAATATGCATTAAGGTGATATTTGTTTTTTTTCTTTCTAATTTTTTGAAAGTAAGTTGGACAAGCACCAACCCCATTAAGAAATATTATAATATATACATCTATTTATTTTAATATCAATTACTTATTAATTTAAGTTAAAATAACTTATTTTTTTCAAATAAAATATTAAATTTAAATTTTAGAAATAAAAAATTAATTTTTTTATTATTTTTTCTTCATAAAATTTAATTTTTAAATATTAAAAGTGTAAAAAAAGTTTATTTATTTTAATAATATATAAAAATGGCATAAAGTAAAAGTTATCTTTACCCTTTATTTTATTTATTTCCCCGCCACCCCAAACACTATTTATTAAAAAAACCCAAAATTATTTTTGTCCAAAAACAGCCTATTTTCTCGTGGCTCCTATGCGTCCACGTGGTCCCCTCTTCCTCCCAATATGATGGCCAGCCGAACACATTTCTCCCTAAACTAAATCAAGAACTCGCTCCTCTGCTACTCCACGTTTAGTCCAACAAAAACCAACAAAATTATTGAAGTCCCTTTGATTCTTCGTCATGGGAATTGAGATCGAGAGCCTCAAGGGCATTGCCGGAGGGTGTAGGGCGGTGGCGAAGCCGTGCGATTCTTGTAAAGCCGCTACCGCTGCGGTGTTTTGTCGGGTTGATTCGGTTTTTCTCTGCCTGAATTGTGATTCAAGGATTCATAGCAACAAACTCGTCCCACGCCACGAGCGGTACTGGTTGTGTGAGGTCTGCGAGCAGGCTCCGGCGGCAGTCACTTGCAAGGCGGATGCTGCGGCCCTCTGCGTCTCCTGTGACGCTGACATCCACTCTGCCAATCCTCTGGCTCGGCGCCACGAGCGAGTCCCGATTGAGCCCTTCTTTGACTCCGCTGAATCGATTGTCAAATCGAGTCCGTTCAGCTTTCTTGTGCCGACGGAAAACGGGTTGTGTCAACCGGAGGATGGGGAGCCGGGGTCTTGGTTGTTGCCGAATCCTAATTTGAATTCCAAGCTCGCTGTGGACAACGCCGAACTTAATAAATCAGTTGATCTGTTTTTCCCGGAAATGGATCCCTTCATTGATTTTGACTTCCAAAATTCAATTCAGCAGCACCATCATAGTGCCGCCATGGATAGCGTCGTTCCCGTTCAGACCAAACCTGCAACGATAATTCCAGTGATGTCCCAGGAAAATTGTTTCGACATCGATTTCTGTAGGTCCAAGCTCTCCTCCTTCGGCTATCCAACTCAGTCTCTCAGTCAAAGTGTATATACTCAAACATCCATTAGTTTCTTCTATTTCATAAATTGCGCAGAGTTTTCAAAACGGAGAAAAAAGCTAAAAAAAGAAAAAAACGTTTTGGTATTTTGCTTTGTATCTTCTTGTACTTTTTTCATGTTAGGAAATTTCCTTTGCTTTTCAACTCAATACTTTTTGGGAAAAAATTTTTTTTCCGATAAAACAATTTATGCTCTTCTTTAAATTAAGCTCCTATCTGCAGATATTAGAAAGTTCTTGTAATCTTCTTTACATAAAATTTTCAGGTTTCATCTTCATCACTTGATGTAGGAGTAGTTCCAGATGGGAACATGTCTGATATATCATACTCCTTCGGTCGATCCATGACCAGCGGCAGCGACCCAAGCGCATCCATGTCCGGCTCCACTGCAAGCCAAGCAACCCAACTAGGCGGAATCGATCGAGAAGCCAGGGTGTTGAGGTACAGAGAGAAAAGAAAGAACCGCAAGTTCGAGAAAACCATTCGCTACGCTTCGCGAAAAGCCTACGCCGAGTCCAGGCCTAGGATCAAAGGCCGTTTCGCTAAACGCACCGAAGCCGAAGCTGAAGAAGACGGCATCTTCGGCTCTGTTTCCGCCGCTGCTGCTGTCGCCGCGGCCGCCGCCGCAGCTTTCATGGCGGATACCCAGTACGGCGTTGTTCCCTCGTTTTGAGCGGACTTATTATGATGCTTAACTTAATTTGATCTTAATAGTCTTTTTTTCTTCTATTTTTTATCTTGCAATTAGAATAATGGTACCGGGCGGGCGGGCGAAACTGGAAAGCAGTATTGATTATGGTTTTTGATGTAAAAATCGGTGTGTTGATGAAGATTAGCCGTTAATATAAAAGATCATGTTCCACGAGAAGGAACTGTTGGTTCCAGCTCCAAAAAAGAAAGCCTCTTTAACTTTTTCTCTGGGGGTTTCTGTGACTGTGTGGATAATTATTAATTATTTTTCGTTAGTAAAAGCACTTTCCACTTTTCCATTTTTTATTTTGTTTCTTCCGCCAACCCAAAAAAAATAGCTTTTAAAAAAAATTTTGAAAATTTTCAAGAGATAATAATCTTAATTACTAAAAATAATATCATATTTTTAATTAAAATTTTACTAAAAATTTATATTATTGTGTATATCAAATCTCTTATATCAGCATCTCACAGCGATAATAAGGGATGAAATTGAATATTTGTTTGATTTAATATAAAATGTTTTTTTAATTTTTGTTTTTAAGGTATATTTAATGTATTTTTTAAACATTA